TGAAGGTGGATACTAAACCGGAGTTGGAAAATTTTCATGGCGTACTCCTATTTTAGTATGGTGTTGGATATGGAACACCAGTGACCAGCGAAGTCATTTTGATGAAAAATGATTTATTTAATTAAATCAATTTCTGGATACTTGGTAATATCCCAATATATTTGTAAGCCTTGTTCTGGATATTCTCTAGGGATAGATCTCGCTTGTGAAAAATGATTCGCCTTCACATTCTCGCCTTATTCTGAGTGAATAGGGAGAAACTAAAAATGCGAGATGTGGATTAGAGTTTTCGAAAATGGTGGTTGGAAAAAGATTAGTGTTGCCACATTGTATCGCTTATAGTCAACAACTATAGTTGCACAATTTTTGTGGACTATAAGCGAATTGTGGACTATATCCGACTTTCGTTTTAAGCCCTGGACTATAACTGAATCCTGGTATAATACACGTCATGGACTATACACGACATATGTACTTTTTTAAACAAAATTAAAGTTTGTTAAAAACGAATGTATATATATATTTTTTTAATTAAATCAATGTGAAGTTTAAACAATAATATAAAATATATTTTAATTCAAATACTATTGTAATGAAATAAAAAATGAAGTATGAGACCAATTTTAAGCATTTGGAGGATTAAAACAAATGTGAATTGTTCACAAGTTTTAAATGAATTCTGTAATCTTCGTACGCTTCTTTTTTATGGAATTTAAAACAGACGATTCAAATTTTTCAAAAAATGAGTTTTGTTCAATTTTGGATTTCTCATCATGAATATTATTATGACATTCTTCAAAAAATTTGTCCGAAACCACATTGTCCGTTCGTCATCACAATGCTGATATTCTGAGGAAAAGGCCAGTCACCAACGCATTCTGGTCACGAATGTCATTAAACCATATAATAAGCGCCTTTTCAGTATCAGGGTGATCGCCTTTGAAGCAGGGTGGTCGAATTTGAAGCATTTTTAATTTTAGAACTATTTTTTATTATTTTATAAACTGTCGTTTTGTCTACTTTGTATTTGGCGCTCAATTGTTCACATTTCAATCCATTTTCTTCATAGTCTTTTAATAATTTCAAGTTTTTCTTCATACTTTATATAAAGCGTCTATAATTTTCGCAACTTCTATGAATTTAGCAATTTTTTAGATTTGTAAATGTTACTAGAAATCAAAATGCCATTGCAGTTTAAATTATATAAAAAACAGAGTGGACTATATGAAAATTTTTTTTAGTGCAATGTTAGTTTTGCATGCACCTAAAATGTGGTCTTTAAACGAAAATGGACTATATGCGAAGTTAGTCGACTTCGAGAACTAATAATTTGTATGAATTTGGAAAAAAAGTTGTCAGTAAATAGTACTGTTTTCGCTTATATCCGTTTTTGGCCTTTAAGCGTAATGGACTATAAGCGAAAAGTACTGTATAAATCGTTTATAAAATGATAATAATAAATTTTAATCTTTTATTTAGTTTTCATCATATTACAAATAGCATTATGTGAAGAAGGCCGGACCGGTCGATCTCTACTTCAAATTGCCTATGGTTTCTTCAAATGTTTTGCTTTGTGATATAACCTAAATTTCAATAACTCAATTATGGAATTTTACTTATCACATTTCATGTGTGTAGATTATCTTCTTAAGTTTGGTGATAAAATCTTAAAATAATTATAAATTTAATTTGTACTGTAGTTTATCAATAAATATAAACACTTGAACTTGAAAGTAAACAAAAAACGTTTGTGTCATAAATTAAATACAATTCAACTGACACAATTTCTTGGTATTAATCAAAATCATACGACTGCATTAATCTTTATGTCATTGTTTGGCAAGTAAAATTTGAATCTAAAACGGCAAAGATTTTTTTCAAATGAAAGATAGTGGTATCATTGTCACAATCAAATAAAAGAGGCAGTAACGTTTTAGGAGAGTCGACTTTTTTCAATCACTAAAAAATTAGACATATGTATAACCAATTATTTAAATATTCCCACGGAGTGTTTTCCTCACGGGGAATTTTTTTCCCATATGTTCTTAAAAGGAAGATGTATTGCCAACTTTCATCATTTGTATAGACAAAAATAATTCGCGTTGCCATGCTGTTCTTTACATTGCTTTTATCAGAAATTTCAAACGTAAAAGGCATTCAAGAGTATTTTATGGAATAATACTCACGAAAGTGGAAAATTACAATTTACATTATTAAAAAGTTATCAACGATCGCTACCCAACATCTGATAATCGAGTTGTGATTAGAAAATATTTAGAACGGCGCCCAACGAAAAGTTACATATCATCATCAGTATAATAAAAAAAGAACCGTACGTAGAATTTCTCTTGACCATGGTAAACACCAGAATTCATTTTCATATGGCCATCACTTTATAGGAAATGTACCTCGCAGCGGTAGACTATCTATAATTTGATTTTATTGCTACTAATGAGTTAAAATTTTGTTGTTATCACAAAGTTTTTATTTTCATACACACAGACGATTAGTTAATACGATTTTTTTTTCTTAAAACAAAACGTGGGGTAATTCGCAATATAAAAAAAAACGAAGTACGTTTATATGTACCTATGATTATGTATGTAGCTGCGTACGTTTGAAAATTTACTTCACACGACCCATAAAATGGGTTTTTTATTAGATTAAAAGCAACAAATGTTAAATAGAACGACTTAAAGTTCAGTCGTATCGAATCATAAGTACCCTCCAGTATGGTTTAAAATATGTCAGAAGAATAATATCCTCTTTCCTCTTTCCTGAGATAAATGATGATGATCGATGAGATAATTACGACCGTTGCACTGTCCCAACCACCTTAGGTTTCTGATGATGTTGTAAATTAAAGCAGGTTCCATAGTTGAAAAGAAGCTTAGACACGGTGGAAAGAGAATGATAAAGTGGGAAAAAATAATAAAGTTACGGCGCAGAGCCTAAATAACAAAGTACTGGCGGGTGTCGTTGATCTGCCCACGAGTCACGGCCCGTCGTCATCCCGCAATCTGAGCAACAATGTCCTACTTGACGCTTCTGGTCCAGGTGAGAACTCAGTGTATTTTTCCCAGTTTGTTCTTCTCTATCCCCAATTTTAAAGGTTGGATCGCTACCCCTATTACATATTCGTAAATTATAGGATAGAATAAAATCGAAAATGGACTAACCTCGCTTGTTACTGTCCTTGCTGCCCCATTGAAAATGGTGAGCGTTTGCGTCGCATCCCAGGATGACGTTGCAGGTGCTCGTCATTTCATCAAGCATCTTTCGTACACTGATGTTTGGTGGATCCCGTTCCTCAAAAGGCATGTAGACTGAGGAGAGCAACTTTCTTGTTCAGACAGTTGATGACTTTGGCACCCTTCTGCATGAAGGCACTGCCAAATTGACCCCTTGGTCCGACCTACTGATGATGGCCGACCGAAGGGTTCCTTCAAAGAGCAACCAATGACTATCACAGATCCTGCCATGAGGATCAGATATGTCAATGATTGCCACTTGAAGGTCTTCATCAGCGGCTACCTTGGTCGGTCTGTCATATGGCTTACGCTGTCTTTGGCTATGAACTTTGGAGTTTGCCTTTCAAGAGGAGGAGACTGTTTCTCCGCCTTTTGTTGTCCAGCCTTTTGTCGTCTTCTTGGGTGAAGGTTGCGGACCTTCTGAAGAGCGGATGCGCCTCACAGATTTGCTCTGCCCGAACCATTTTGGTTCACGGGGGATCCGAAGATCCCCAAGGTTTCCACGAAGTGCAGAGAAAATTTTACTTAGTTGATCCCCTTCCCATCCGCCAACCGGGAAGACCCGCCTAGTAGGAGATTGGCAACTCCCCTAGGTGAACTAGTTCCGTGTATGTAGTTGTTCTTCTCGGGTTTCTATAACGATTTCGGCTACCTCTGTCACAAGAAACCTCGACGAAGAAGATCTTCAAATGATCCGAAAAGGAACATTCATCAGACACCCTTATGTTACTGATGACAGAGTCATCTAGATTTAAGAGGTTTAAATCAATGATCACAAACGGAGCATCTGAAGTGTTGCAATACTGGAACGCGTGTGAGTAAACTGTAATCAGCGGTTATGTCGCTCTCGATCACTAGTAAGAAGGATGATATGACCCCAGTCACATTTAACAATAAAACTGTGGTTGAAGCGAAGAGATAAACCGGAAAATATTTGACTTTAGTGGCACATCAACTGTTTTCAATATTTTGACCTATACTTTTTGAGATTTCATAGTTTTGGATTTTCTTACAAATTAGAAATAAGTGACGAAGCCAGGAAAATAGAATACAAAACACTATGCGACGAAGAGATCACAAACACACACACAGTTTATTTTGTTAGTTTTTAATCATTATTCGTATATGTATTTATATTTCTTTTTGGTATGTCTTAATTAACAATGATTAATTATTGAAAATATATGTTTGTGTATGTATGATTTTTTTTATATAATTTATTAACTTAAATAAGGAAAACAAATTATAGAAATTGTTCTCAATAAAAAAAATTAATATTATTTGTATAATTAAATTCATATTAAACAAAAAAGGGGAAAAACAAAGCTGCCCAAAAAAAAAATAATTGAAATAAGGAAATAATTACAATTTATGATAGGGAACGTAAAACGTTCTCTAATACCAATATCAATTAATTTTCAATAATTATAAACACAATTGTTTGTTAACAGCTTAGCAGCACGGTTACATATGCAACGTTTGGAAAGTGTTGTTTAGACAAATAAACAATTTTTGTATTTAAAAACTAAATCGTCATTATTTAGAAGAATTAGGAAGAACTTAGTTAATATTAAATATAGTAATAATAAACAAATGAAAAATAGAACATTATGTATAATATTTTTTTGTTTGTTTTAGTTTTAACATTGTAACCGTACAACGGTTATTACGACACTCTCATACAATACATACGTATATGTTTATTTCGTTTGTTTTTTTGGTAAGTGGCCATCAAACATATTGTTTTCTTTAGAAGGAAGTCTCGCCGGGATATTCACTTATAATTAGTTTTTTGTTTGTCACATAGTTTTCATTCTGTTCACAATTCTCTTTATTCGCCTTATAGCTGCTGAGTATTTTTTTATTTCCCGCCGACTGGTTTGAAGACGATGCTGCTGCAGATGATAGTTTATTAAAACTATGATAGCTACTGCTGTTATTGTGTTGCTGTTGCTGACTGTTAAACAGTATTGAAGACATTTTTTCAATATCATTGCTTGCAGCACGCTTACGTGCATTGTTAAGTATAACGAAGGGATTGTTGGCCAAACGATTTGTAACGTTATTACCAGCTCCTAATGGTAGTTGTTGTGATATACAGCTACTGTTGCTATCATCAGTCTCATGTTCTTGATTTTTATTATGGTCTTCATGTGGTATTGATGGGCCCGTTGTGTCCGTTTCCTTAATTCTAAGATGTTCATTTGTATTAGCCGTATCATTAGAACTGTGATCATTATTTCCAATATTCTCATTATTTGTCTCTGTTGGGGTTTTATCATTGTCATCATCGCCATGTTCACTCTCAGGACGATTACCATCCAGACAATAGAGTAAACTAGAACTTAAACGATTCTCGTCTATATCATCGAGTTCACGTGAACTTTCGAAATCATCCGAATGACTAGTAAAGGATGTATCTTCTGGTGGTGCTGTAAGGACACTACGTGTTAACAAGTACTCTCTGAAAAAAAGACAGAAAGGAGAGGGGTTCAATTAAAAATTTAAATAATCTCCAACGCCTTATTTAGGCCTTGCAAAAAAATATTTTAAAAAGCCACGCCTTATTTAGGCCTTGGAAATTTTTTTAAAAGATCTACGCCTTGAAAAATATTATTTAAAAAAATCCATGCGTAATATAGACCTTGAAATGTGCGCCTGTTGTACAGAACAGGCACCGATATTACAGGAAATGCGATAAAAATGCGATGGAAAGGGACTGGCGTAAGTAAATCATATGATTATGCCCTGTATTATAGCTGCCATGAAACGAGACATGAAATTGGCTGCGGATTTATGGTTAACAGGAGAATAAAAGACCTCGTCTCCAGATTCACTCCAGTAGATGAGCGAATTGCTATAATCCGTATAAAAGCGAAGTTCTTCTACATCAGTCTTATTTGCGCCCATGCTCCGACCCAAGATAAAGATGAACAGACCAAAGACATATTTTACGAGCGCCTAGATTTTTTGCACAAAAACTATTTCCCCTGAGTCAGGAAATTTTTTGTAGAAATGATTTATTTAAAATCCTTAGGCAGGTAAACACGCTTTGCACATACGCAATCCTTTTTGGGATTTTTTCCTACACTCAAATATGAATGATTTTGCATAAAATATTTACCGGAAATTCCCTTAAATTACGAGATGAGGTAGGTCAACCGGAAATGACTGACTGAATAGCGATCACACACCAACAACAACACCATCACATTTTTCTTTTACTTACTTGAAATGTGTACTCAAAACATCTGCCGCTTGTTGATCATCTTTTAATTGCTGCTTCGTTTTACAACTATTCGATGTTGTAGATGATTCCTCTGAGTGAAATTCCTGAACACAAGCATTTTTATGCTGCATAACAAAACTATGATTGGCTTGTAATAGCTGTTGTCGTTTTAATATATCGGAATAACCACCCAAAGAGGTGGCATCTTCATTGATTACTTCTGGATGGGGTGGATTAGTCTGGATATCTAATGGTTTCGTTTTGGTTACAACACCACATAAAATTGAATCATCTTCAAGGTGTTCCTCCCCTTCTTCTTCTAATTCCACTTCCAAATCGTCTTCATCATCTTCCACCTCGTCATCATCATCAACATCCTCGTCCTCGTCACCATCTTCTAATTCGTCTTCTTCTGGACAATCCAGCATATCTACCGTTTGATTAATGGTTTGATTTTGATCGGTGGAACTGGTGGTGGTGGTTAGAACCATTACAGGTTTACGTGAACGGGGTGTCATAATCGATTCCTAAAAAAATTAAAAATAAAAGTTTTAAATATTTTTTTGCAGATAAAAACACAGAGTTAAAAAAATAGAATTATTTATGTATGTGTGGGAAAACAAACAAAAAAAAAACATTACCTGCATTGCCTTCGGCATGCGTTGTGTTGATTTCGTTATGGGCGACATTGATCGACGACCCAATAGCAGTGATGGCGTGCTTGTAATCAAATCCAAATTACGATAAATACCACTTTGTTGCAATAAAAGCTGTTGATATGTTGCAGTAGCACCTGTAAAATTGGGCATCTCCGAGGAGCTACTTCCCGTTCCATGGGAATACTCAATATTACCCACAACCCGATGATCATTTTCTGTATCACTACCAGCACCCGCCGGATCATCCTCAAATGTATCATCATCCAAATCTTCATCGTCCATATCCTGCAATAATGGTGCATTATCTGCCCTACTTGCTGAGGCAAAACTACCCTCGATTTGATGAAATATTTGCGAATCGTCACTCGAACGCCGTTTCAGCGAAGACGATACGTTACGTACCAAACGTTTGGTAGACTCTGGTGTACTAAAGGGAAATTTCAAATTACCCATGCTAACACCTTTCAAGAGCTTGCGCTTTATATATGTTCCCGGCATTAGCTTGGTAATGGGTGTAATCATATCATGGGCAATGGAGGTCGACGAACTGGGAGTCTCACATATGTTATGCGATAGGCTCAAATTCGGTTCTGACTTGTAACGAGATTTCAATTCATTAGAAGGCGTTTGTTGCATTGGCGTTGAGGGATTTGAAATGCGTTCAATATCAATTAAATGAGAATCATCCCAAGCTACCGATTTTTTGTCAGGACCCGCAATTAATTGTTTAGCTGCTTCCGAAATTAATTTCAAGGGGGTAACACAGCAAGTTGGATCAATGGGATTGCCCGATATACCCGAAGACAATGAGGATGTGGTAGATGTTATTGACGTGTTAGCGTGATATTGTAAATCGGAAGATGTTTGACGACTGACAGGAGCCGATACGCATTTAGTTTTGTGCACTAAACCATCACTACTATTTGTATTATGTACCGAGTTAGTGTTCGAAGTGTTGCATGCCGATGGATTTGAACACGAAGAAGATGAAGAGTTATACTCTGGATCTTCAGCGTTCAATTGGTGGTGTTGATGATGTTGTTGCAATTGTTGTTGATTCATTAGTAATGAAGATGAGGATATGGATTTTTGTAGAGGATGTGATTTGAAAATGTATGGTGTGAGGTTAACAGAATTTGTGGAATTGGTCATGGACCATGAAGATGGGCATGTTGAAGTTGATGATGATATTATGGAGGATGATGATGATGAAGCACTGATTGCCGTGGGATTGGGACTTTGGAATAGTACTCTCTGTTTGTGTTGTTTCATGCTGGAACTGTTAGGGGTCTATAAAAAGAAGGATTTTTGTGAGGTTAAGAAAAAAACACACAAACAGAGAAAGAAAATTAGAGAATATTTTTGAGTGGGAGTAAGTAGCATAAAAGCATGGTGTTTACATTAGTACCAAAAATATGTATATATATTAAAGCATAAATAAAACACGTACCTCCAAAACAACACTGGGTATGGGAGGTTGACGTTTTGGTGTTCGTGATATTAGGCCCTTGTTGAAAATGTGTTTTTTAATTGAGTCACTCAATGATTTTGAGCTGCGAGAATTTTCAGTGGTTTTTAAACGATTCATGGCCTGCAATTGTAATGGTGTTCCTGGAAATAGAAAAGAGAAGAAAATATTTTAAGAGATGCGGGAACGTGGGTACACCGTAGTCTCGAAATATCAACAAAAACCATTCCATCTCTTTGTAGGATAAAATTTGTTTTTCAAAAAAAAAAATTGGAATTTTTTATGGTAAGAAGTCTATTCATTGAAGAAAAGTGTAGAAAAAAATCAATCCTTAGAGGCTTTTTTTCCTATAGAGAAAAGTTAATCCTTGGATACGGGCTTTTTTTCTACAAGTATCTTGAGAAGTTTACCTGCCTATTGGCCTACCTCACAGTGGCTGAACCACAGGCGGAAATGCGCCCACCAGCGCACTAGCACCGAAGTGCTTTACCAATCGGCATGTAAAGCACTTCCCCTTGGTGAGGGGCGAAACCACAACCCCCGTAAAGCTCCCCAGGGGGCCACACCTGTCAGGCTTTACCGACAGATCCAGAGGCACCTGACACCCGTGGTACGGAAAACCTCCGCTCATGCTCGAGACCGAAGCCTCTTCCAAGTCCAGGCTGGTATCCAAAAACAAAAATATACGACAGCAGCAAAAAAACGCAAGCGGCAAGGAAATACCTTGCCCCAGGCAGTGGCGACGTTGAACAAATACCCACTACACAAACAATTAACATGATGTCCTCACAGACTGTAAAAAATCAACGCCCCTCCATTCGATATATCCATACTTGCTAAATCTCTAATGTCATCGTAGTAACAGCATTCCGTCAGTATATGTTTCCAGTCCTCAGTCATTCCGCACCCACAGAAATACGTCTGGGACAGGACTCTGTTATGCAGAAACGCATTGTGAGAACCATGCCCCGTCAGTATGAAACCAGTACTTAAGCCGAAGCGAAAGTCTGGCCGGTCCACTACGAACGTTGCGTCACGAATAAATTCGTACGTCACCCTCCATTTGTCACTGTTCGTCCACCTTGTCATCCAGCTATCAACAACACACTCCCGAAGTATAGTGCTGTCTACTCTTCCCATCCACCAGATCAGAAGGCCTGAGCCACTCATCCTCATCCAACTGCAAGCCACGCTTAAGCTTATACATGATAGCCCTACATCTCACTTCAAGATCAAGCGGCGTGGCGCCAAGCAGCACTTGCAAACTGGCATTTTTTTCTACCGAAAAAAGTCCATACTTGGAGACTTGAATTTTTTCAATGGAAAAAAGTACATCATTGAAAAAAATATATATATTAAAAAAAAAACACGCCTAATATAGGCCCTGAAAAAAATTAATAAAAAATCCACGCCTAATATAGGCTCTGATTATTTTTATAATCCTTGGACAAAATTATTAAAAAAAAATTTATTTATTAAAAAAAACACGCCTAATATAGGCCCTGAAAAAAAAATAATAAAAAATCCACGCCTAGTATAGGCTCTGATTTTTTGTTAATCCACGGCTTATTTAGGCCTTGGACAAAATTATTTAGGCCTTGGAAAAAATCCATACTTGGAGTCTTGATTTTTTCAATGGAAAAAAGTACATCGTTTGAAACGGTATTTGCTTTATATAAAATATTACATCTTTGGAACCTAGAATTTTTATCCCATGGAGTATTTACTATAGGAAAAAATCCTTTCTTTGATGGTTGGTTTCTCATATGCTGGATTTTTTTCATTAAGAAAAGGACATAACATACAGGTTGCCTTTATATTATAGAAACACCCATCCTTTGGATACTGGAACTTATTTTTTTATATAAAAAACACCGACAGGAAGATGGTATTTCTTCTTTAAAAATACATCCTTTGAGTATAGATTTTTTTTTTTTTTTTTTTTTGAGAACTGGTATCTTGGGAATATTTCAGGCTATATTTCATCTACCAAAAATGGGTTTTTACAGACTCGAATTGTTTATAGGAAAGTTCTTTCTTGAACCTAGATTTCTTTCTTTCTGAAGACAAAAGTCAATCTTTTTTATCTTTGATGACTGAAAATGTTCTTCTATTGTTTTTTTATCGAACGTATAGCCAGCATTTGATTGCCACTTACCTTGACCATTTTGTTTATTAAATTGTTTAATCAAACGACGTTTCTTCGATGATTCCGGCATTGATTGTATGTGTGCATACAATTGTGCCAGCTCTGTATCGGTTGTATTTGTTGTATGCGCTGCAGCAGTCTTTTCACGATCAACAAATGTATACACTGTATTTACTGTTGATACATCCGATATCGATTCATCTAATGTCATTTCGGGTGACATTGTTTTCTTACGTTTACGCTCCAAAAAATATGCTCTTATATCGGTTGCCAATTTAGCGGGAACAGCAAATATATCATGAGCTCTTATTATCATATACGATATAATACTAGACATTTTGCGAGCCAAATAATGTAGAGCTTCGGGTGGTAAATTACGTGGACATATTAAATGTGGTGCAAACAATGTGGCCAAATTATCAGGACCCATTTTATTGATGTTCTGTTTTAAGGCAACCGCATGTAGTATATCGGTGATGTGTTGTAATAGCTGGCGATTTTCATCGGGTAATAGCAAGAGTAACAATTGTATTGAATGCAACACGTGCAATTCTTTTTTAAATCGATCACCTGTACTGGAGGTGGTAGTCGATGATTTTTCTTCTTTTGTTTCGTGATCGCTGGTTGTGCCGCTGGTGGCATTATCCATTTGTAAATTTAAACCCAAGCATAATGGAGCAATTTGTAAATGGGCAGGATAATGAGCATCGGTTAGTAGAGGTTCAGCCAATTCGGCTAAATAACCTTTAAAAACGGTGGCACAATCATGAGCTGAATAACCACTTGCTTCTAAATCGAGTGGTTTGTCATTTTGAATTTGCTGCCGCAATTCATTTTGTCTTGAACTTGAACCGGTTTTACGAAAAATTCCCTCTTGTTGAATGCCTGTAAGAAGAGAATTTAATTTGTTTTAGTGGAAAAATCGAAGAGATGTTTCCAATGGAAAAAAGGTACCTACATTTGAAAACATATGAAGATTTTTTAACAGAAAAAATATGAATATTGTTTATCAGGAAAAATGCAATGCCAGAGTATTATTCACAACAATTCTCAGCACCATAAAATACATTTTTAAAACAAGATGATCCGCGATAGAGCCTTAAAGATAACTTTTTGTATAGAAATATTTCAAATCCTTGATGTTTTTTGGATTCAAATTTCCCTTGCAATGAAATCTTCTATCTATACCCTCGGAGATTTCTATAGGAAATACATTTTATAGACGAATTTTCTATAGACTTTGGTTTTTTGTCTAGGAGCCATCAAAAAAAAAAAAAAAAAAAATCCTAATAGAAACAAAATGCGGGTTCACGAGTAAAATTAGAAATCCAAATCGATTTTCCAATGAAAACAATTCCCATTATCCCCATAAAACAATCCAGCTTCGTTTTAGATATTTTGAAGAAAATACAATTTTTACAACCAAGGTTAGGATAATGTCTTATTTTTCGGTTCACGGCTGGATTCATAATTTTCGAACAGAAAACTGTCAATGTACGTCCAAAGATCTGATATTGAAGATTCATTTCCCAAACGAAGAGAATGCATTTTAGTTTTTCGGGTTTTCAAAGAACAAAAAAAAAACGTGCTTGTAGATAATAAGCAATGCAGATCCTAGTATTGACACCTAGGCTGGAGGTATTTAAATTTGTCTAATTATACTAATAAACTCCATCAAAAAAGTATAATTTCACATCAAAATCTATACCTTAAATTCCCGTCAATACTTACTCTTTTCCGACATTAGGAAATCCTTTAATTCTTGTAAATGAAACAAAAATCCAGGATCAACATGTTGCCGTAAATTCTCCGTTGGACTAATACCACAATTGGCATTTTGTGTTGTACCATTTGATGATGAGCCCTTTATGCCAACTGCCGAAGCACAACCTGTTGAACCTGATGCTAGGGCCGCCACAACAGCACCATGTTTATGTTTTTTGCTCATAGGATTCCATTTACGAAGTTTGCCTTTGTCTTCATAGACAATTTCGTGACAGGGCAAATCAAATCTGCAAGAAAATGTGAAAGGAGAAGTACAAGTTATGTGGGGAGAACAACACATTCGTCGCATCTCGATACTCACTCATCAGTGTTTAAGTCCAATTCAAAGGATAAGTGCATGCGCACCAAACTTTTAAATTTTTCATAATTGCACTTGCGCATGCGGGCCACAATTTCGGCATCTCGCAGCTCCGAGAAATTTAATGTATCTATTGATTCCATTTCACGTATGTGATACCACCTCCTCCACGTTTGTTGTTGTTTCTTTTTTAAACAAAAGAAATTTAATCAACTTTCAGTGGAATGTTTTCTTAACGACGACAACAACAACAAATAAATCTTAATGTCATTGTTTCTTTATGGCTTGCTTGCTGCTAGGATGCCGCATTATTTTTCTTTTAATGTGTCAGAGTTCGACTGCATTTTTTGCGGATTTTAACGCAGTTTTCTAAAACTTAAAGGTATATTGATGATTTCCGATAATTAAGCGAGAACCAATGTACGAATTCTTTAATTTTTATAAAGTGATCAAACTGTTTTTGTTCCTGTAAAAACCCCTAAAAACCGCTGGCTTTTAAAAATACCTGTATCATGGAGTTGCCAACTACTTGTTGTGTTTATATGTTGCCATATGCTTTTGATTTGCATGTCTAATCGGCGGCGTATGACGTAATTTTAATTGTGTAGTAGTGATTAGTGGTAACGTAACGTATTACAATATAAAATATATCAAATAAAAAACTCAAAAATTATTAAAAATTTAAAAATGTTTAAAGAGATATCGCTTTCTAATATAAATCTATTAGAAATAAATGAAGTTAATCGAGTTTCAAAATGAAAATCTATTTTATAACGGTAAATCTACATTTAACGTTATAAAATTAATTTTCGAAGTGAACCAAAAAAACCAAAGGTATTTTCGTGATCCTGGGACTCCAACTAAACAGAATTGTTACATTAGAATACCTGAAAACATTTCTTTGTTACTTTGTAGCACAGTGTTATTATAAAAATGTTGTGAAGACCTGAAAGTGTCCATATTAATTGTTAGTCCTGTAAAAAAGTCCATTAAGCGATTTCTCTTTAAACATTTTTAAAATCTTAATAATTTTTGAGTTTTTATTTGTTATATTTTATATTGTGTGTTTTTGTTTTGATATATCCATGATGCAATAATAAGGTGATGTATCAAAACAAAAACCTTTGTTTTTGTCTCGACCATCTGTCAAATTTTTTTTCCTTATAATATTTCATATGGTTGGCAACATTGCAAATCGAATTCAAGTAGAAATTACGCACTTTGACAGTTAATCAAGACATCAGCTGCGCTAAATGGACTACCTATTCATTGTGCCATGGGACTACCTATTCATTGTGCCATGGCATAAGGCATATGTGACCTAAATACAATATTGTAGAAAATATGCACTTGGAATGGTGAAACGTTTAAAAAGCGATAATTCACTTACCGTATATAGAAGATTTCATTGCAAGGGAAACTTGAATCCAAAAAAAACATCAAGAATATGAAATGTTTCTATACACAACGTTAACTTTTATGCTCTATCGTGGATCATCTAGAACGATATAACGATAGTCCAGACTTGCCCTAAAGAAATATTTTATGGTGCTGAGAACTGTTGTGAATAATACCTTGACATAACATCTCTTCGAATTTTTTTCACTAATAAGAATTAAATTCTCTTCTTACAGGCATTCAACAAGAGGGAATTTTTCGTAGAACCGGTTCAAGTTCAAGAAAAATGAATTACGGCAGCAAATTGTAGAGGGAAATATCTTTGGACTAGAGGAAGGTTGTCAGATTATGGTGTTGGGAAAAAGGAGGGTATAATTTTTCCTTATACAGTATTTTTCGGTTAATTGACCCTACCACATAATGGGGCAAAAAATATTGCATACGAAAACACATGTAAATTTCCTCGGATAATTTAACCCTGTGTTGCGTACCGCCTACTGCGGCTCCTGGTGGGGTTCCAACCAGCTCAGTCGGGGCACCGCTTTAGGGGTGAATTCCCAACCCTACCACCATCAGCCCTAGGGGTCGAACAATCAAGAAGGAAAACGGAAATAGAACAACAAACAACAATACAAAATGACAACACACATACGACCATAACGAGGGAATTTGGTGTCAATTATTCCCGCACTTCGCCCGCCCAACCTTGACCCTTTTCGTCCTCATAAACACTTAATTTTAAAGGGCCCCTGCTTCCACACACACTCACCTTACTGCAACATCATCCAATCTTCCTCCCTCACAGAAAACAACTAGCAATTCATATTAATCTAAACATTCACACATAAACAATATTTATTAATTTCATTATTTCTTGATTACTTAAACCTAACATAAACACTTAGTCAATATTCTGAATTCCTAACACCTAAAACCATCGATAAGTCACTGTTTCAGACTACCCACACAATCTATTGAAACGGCTCCTTCTGGCCACTCTATTATACTATTACCTCACCTAAAAGAGCTCTCTTAAGTCGTTATTGGGGAGATTACCATTTGGTCCCCAAAATAGGCAAATGCAAGTTTCCAATAAGATATTTGGGGTAACCCTACACTTGTCGCATTTGTTAGGCGTTAAAAATTCTCACAATTCAAAATCTTAGATATTAATCACTAAATACTAACACATAACACACTTAATCTACCACTTAAAATTTAGTAAATATATTTTTGTTTGGTTTTTTTTTTAAATTTTCTGTCATTTGGTGATTTGCTTGTTTTTAATTTGGTCTTTGATTACTAATTCATTTTTTGTTTTACTTTCAGATCCCTCAGGCTATTGGCATTTAAATTTCGACAAAACAATGGTTACCTGGTTTCCAGATACTTATTTTTCCAGGATTTTTTGGACGGACAGACACATCAATTTATTGGCCAACTGCGTTCAAGCTTGTGCTGGCGTGCTGTCTTCACTTTGGGCTTAACCGTCTTCCAGCCAATTATTCTAAAACCGTGAGCCACATAAATATTTTTTGCCGAATAAGCCCCAAAAAAAATTCGGATGACCTCCTCCGTGCAACGACTTGGAGGGGCCAATGCTTGCCTTTTTAGTTGATGAGGATGTTGGCGAGATCTATACAAAACACCAACATTAAAACACATAAAATATTACCGAATTACACTACTTACTTTATTTTGTTCGCTCGCAGGCATAAGGCACTCAACAATAAAAAACAAACACAAGTCTTAATAAATTTTGGGGATTTTTTGTTTATCTTGGGGATTTTTGTTTTTTTTTTTGTTTTGAAAATTTGTTATAAATTATAGTCTCTCGACCAAACACCAAATAAATTTGATCGAATTTTCCCCCCGTTATGCCTTTTATACCCCCGCAGCCAGATGCCATTTTCCCACTTTTCTGGGATTCTCGCGCATTTTCCGACATTTATCATTTTTCCTTCTTACCTCTTGATCCCTACACTCGACAGGGTTGTATTTGCCAGGCCTAAATTTCAGACCAGATGGCAACGCATGAATTTCTCAACCGCTGTACTGAGCTTACTGTATCCGGCTCACTTTTTTTTTGGCCGGCAGCAGCAAACACATCATCTCGGATAATTGCTGCCGGTTGTGTTTTTTTTTATTTTATTTTTATACAAAAATTTATATTCACATGCAACAAAACATCATCATGACCAAGGAACCGATGGACATGGTGATGTGCATGATATTTTTGTTTGTTTAAAATTGCGGTGAGGAGAGAATATAAATGAATGAATGGGCGACCAGTCCTTGGAATCCTGGTGTCCACGAGGAATGGGCATACATGGAAATGGAAACCGGCGTGGGACGCAAATCTACAGGTAAGCATTCACAATTGAACAATTTATCGAAGTATATTAATGATTTTGTTCTTTTCTTGTTTCAGAAAAACCATAAGAAATATTTTAGTGCAAAAATTGAATGTGCGTGTGTGGTGCCAAAAGTGGCGTGGGTTTCATCATTCATGGCTGTGTGTGTGTAACATAAAAAGTGGCGTGGGTAATACTACCTGTATATGTGTGTGTGCGACACTGGCCACTCATTCACACATAACCATTAAGTACATTCATGCCGTCTCATTTGTTTGAATGGATACACACATCCATTTTGGCGGTATTTTTATGGCTTGGCAGAAATGTATGCGGTTTACATTTATGTACACCACAATGTATGTGCTGTCAAAAATGGCGTAACTTCTTCGGAATGTTAAGCATTGGTAAGTAGATCTTTGCTATAAATTTTTACACATTTTTACAACCCTTTTTCATTTTCTTTATTTTTAGAAAATTGATTTTTATAATTCTGTTAACATAATGGAACACCTCAGGTAGTTTGGACCTTTGTTTATGGCCCTACAACCAGTGGAAAAGTCTGTGCTTGGCGACAAAACATTCATACAATTTGTTGCTAAAGGTGATGCTTAGACTGCATAATCCGGTAAGAAGTTAGAAAATGTTTGTTGATGTGCTGAATAATTTAAAATTGTTTTCTTTTCTTTCAGGTACATTCCAATTATGATGGTCATGATACCATAAGAACTGATTTGTTTTTTGTTTTGGTAAGTAAAACATTTTCTTTTAATAAAATTGTCTTTCCTTTTTACTAATTGGGTCGTTTTTTATTGCAGATATTTATTGGTGATATGCTTTGATGTGTACCCCTTCACATTTAAGATGGTTTCGAACAAACTGTCTTTGAACCAATCGGAATCACTGAAATGGTACACAGGAAGATTTTGGCTACCACCTTCGGTAACAGGTGGTTTACTATGCGGTGTGGGACGTGTGAATTTATGGAACGTTTGTGGACGTGATCATTTTTACAACAGGTAAAATATATTTCGTTTGTTTGTTCGTTTCAGACAGACCTATCTTTAATTTTATTAGTGTTTTTTTGTTTGCATGGCTATATAATGTGCGTGTAAAAAATGTGGATATGTTTGTAAAAAATAATGGTCTGATCTACTAGAATTTTAAAAATTGATAATTTATGAGTTTATATGAACTGTGGGAATAAATGCGAGGAAATGGGTTGTAACCCATACCTTTTTTTAATAGACATTTTAATAAATTTATACTCCGCGCACATATTTCTACCTGTATTATTTCAAGATAATTTTCATTGTTGTTTGTACAAAATTTTACTAATGTTCCTTTTGTTTATTTTCAGTTGTTTGGTGATTTGGTGACCGAGGTGAATGATTCAC